CCTTATGCAGGGTCATTATGATTCAGAACAGACTCCATGGCACTTAACAACAACAATTGTAATCCTTATACATGTAGATGAAGGGGCAGTTAGGTCCTTGGCTGCTAACTGAAAGATTAGAAGTTCTGATCCAATACCTTAGAAACCCTAAGGGAAAGTTCGACTTTGTCCTACAAGGTCACTATGAGTTAAGACTGGACTCCAAAGGGATTTACACCAGTGGATGTAATCCTGTAAAGAAATAGAGTTTTCTTTGCCATGTTAATGAGATCACACCAACATAGGATGTATCCTAAATCTCATCCCTTCTGAGTTAGAAAAAGAGCAGATCAGCACAAACTGGGGGAAACAGAAGTATTTGTGAGGGCTGTGAAGGGACTAAGAAATGCAAGGGCTAGGAAAGCAGAGACAAGGCCCTCTCCCAGAGTTGACACAGAGAGAAACTTCCTCGAAAGCCAGTGTCCTGAATGCAGTAGAATTGATCCCTGGTTGCCTTCAATCTCATATTATCTAACCCCTGGCTTCTGCGTCCAATCCACTTGTACTCAAATTTGTGTTTTCAGGCTTTGTTTGGGAGAAAGTAGTGGTACATCAGGGAATGGCGATAAGACACCAAGGCTGAGCAGTGTGGGCTTTTACAGGTACAAGGAGAGGACCAATGAGTTTATCATAAAGTGAACATGCAATATCTGATGCAGGGCTTGAATTGGTAAAAAGCCCCAGGTCAGTGACTGCTAGCTCCAAGTTCCCCCAGCACACATTCTAGATTTTCCAATGAGTGTCAAGATGGGGAACAGTTGTAAAGCACTAATCTACATAATGAGAAACCATTAAAACTGTTTAAGTTAGGCAAAAGGCTATAAAAAGTTATGATTAAAAAGATGATTATAGTACCCAAGTAAAGGATAGAATAGGGAAGAAAATATCCACACAGAGAAATCACTATAAGTGTACTGAAATATTTCAAGAAGAGACTTAAATGTGAATTTGAGAGATACTCAAGACTAGATGAAGGTCTTTCTTCAGGACTGGAAGAACATTTTAGAAAACACTAAAATTGCTCAGGATGAACCAGATATTGGATGAACAGCAATGATGAGTACTTGTCTTTCATGACTGACATCAAAAGTCATTGATGAGATTTCAGCAGGAGCCGCCCTCTTACAGTAATCCACCAAGATAAGGAACACAAAGGGAAAGAGGAGGGGCACCAGCTGTATGTTCTTCAGGCCTTTCAGAAAACATGGGGTTGTTCATTTGGCCACACACATGCAAATCTACAAGAAAGGTGATATTGTGGACATCAAGGAAATGGGCATAGTTCAAAAGGGCATGCCCTACAAATATTTGTTGTTGTTGTTAAGTGCCGTGGAGTCGGTTCCAACTCATAGTGAACCTACACAGGGTTTCCGAGGCTGTAAATCTTTACGGGAGCAGACCGCCTCATCTTTCTCCCATGGAACCACTGGTAGTTTTGAACTGCTGACCTTACGGTTCACAGCCTGATTCGTAACCACTACGCTACCACAAATCTTACCAAGGCAAAACTGTAAGAGTCTGCAAGGTGACCCAGCATGCTGTCAACATTGTGGTGAACAAGCAAGGACAAGATTTTTGCCAAGAGAATTAATATACACATTGAGCATATTAAGCACTCTAAGAGCAGAGATAGGCCTGTTGTGGCACTGTGATTACTGCGTCAGACTCCAAAGTCATCTGAACTGCAAGGTTGGCAGTACAAGCTCATCAGCAGCTCCTTGGAAACCCTATACAGGGTCGCTATGGGTCGGAACCGACTCGATGGCGCTTAACAACAAACAACAAGAGCAGACATAGCTTCCTGAAGTGAGTGAAGGAAAATGGTCAGAAAAAGAAGGAAGTCAAGGAGAAAGGTACCTGGATTCAACTAAAGTGCTAGCCTGTTGCCCTCATAGCGGCACGCTTTGTAAGAACCAACAGAAAGGAGCCTGAGCTGCCAGAACCTATTCCCT